CAAAAACCCATTAGACACAAACTGGAAAAAAACAAAGCCTTCTCGAAACAGCTATTTTCATATAAACATTGTATTACACGAAAGAAAAATACTTTCCAAACAAATACTTATAGATGAACGTTGAATCATACGAAAAGTATTTTTTTCATTTCGTTTGTATTCCAAACATTCGTAATGAAATCGGATCAGATATCATTCAGAGGATTCCTACACAATATAATTGATGAAAGAAGTAAAATTTCACTTACACGGAACGTTGTCATCCTCACCTGTAGACAACATTGGCGGATCGGAGGGGGGGTGGCAGCCCCTCCCCATTTTTTTTTTGAAAATTTTGAATCGTTCAAAATTGTTTTCATACCAGTTTTCAATTAAGTAATATAAAAATGCCAACTATTAACTATTTTAAATTTTTCACCAGCATATATGTGTCATAAGATGGCTCTCATGCACTTTTTTCAGGAAGTAGGCATCGGACTTAACGCGGAAACTATGTACCGCGAGCGTTGTGAATAAAAGGAAGGCAAGGAATGACACTGCTTGTCATTCCCATCATTAGCACTCATGAATTATCGACAAACAGTAGACAAAATCGACCCAAACAAGATTGTCAATGGATTCGTCAAATTGAAAAAAGTTACACCTCTTTATCTGAAGTAAATATTCCGTAAAAACTATGAACTCCTCAAAACTCAAATATTCAACGAAAGTCATTTTTCGTGGAGGAAAATCAGTTTCTCATCGACCTTTTTTGGGTATTTGTTACCTTCCACAATCTGAAAAATATAAAAATTACCACGCGTTGCTGTGGCTAAGGTTTTTGTTGTGTTACATTGTAGTAAACTAGTAAATAGTAGTAAACATGGAACCACCATGCTTCTTTACATAGATGCCATTTGTAAAAATATATGGCGACCTCCATGACAAATTTTCTACTAACGTAACCCCTTAGTAAAACGAAATTATTATTCACGAACGAAGACGGAAACGTTAAAACTGGTATAAAAATCCACTCGATTATGATTTGAAGAAGAAGGACTTTGAACACGATTGATTAAACTATTCGTACAGTTGATATTAAGCAAAA